TTCTCTGAAACTTTCCAGACTCTGGAGCGTTCTTATTTGCTCAAGATCAACGGCAAAGTGGCAGAGCGACCCCAACAGATGTTGATGAGGGTTGCAGTGGGTATCCATGGTGAGGATATTGATGCAGCTATTGAGACCTATAACCTGTTGTCTGAGAAGTGGTTCACACATGCCTCGCCCACACTCTTCAATGCTGCTACAAGAAGGCCACAGTTATCTAGGTAAGAGTCTGCAGCTAGATTGCACTTGTATTCATACTAAGAGTTTTACCCAGGTTTTGGTTCACTGTTTATAATCTTGATTTACTAGTACTAAAACTAATATATATATTTCTCTACACAGCTGCTTCCTATTAACAATGAAGGATGACAGTATTGAGGGCATTTATGACACTCTTAAGCAGTGTGCTTTGATCTCCAAGTCTGCTGGAGGCATTGGGCTGAATGTGCACTGCATCAGGTCCATGGGAAGCTATATTGCAGGAACCAATGGAACTTCTAATGGTCTTGTGCCCATGTTGAGGGTGTACAATAACACAGGTAAGTTACGTTTGCTGTATCAGTGGTGACTAATATTTCTATTTTAGTTGGTAAAAAAAAAAGAAAGAAATGTGGAATGGTCATAAAGAATAATCAATAACATTGGGTTAAGTCTTCAAATAAAATAAAATGCTGAATGGATGTAAAGAATAACCAGAGTAACATTGGGTTATTAATTGTAGAATCTAGAAAGAAGTGCATATTCACTCTTTAGGTATAAACCTGCAGGCAGTTGAATTGTTTCTCTTGCTTCTTCTGTACCTTCAGTACACTTGACAGGCTAACAAGACTCCACATCTCATAATCTAGCTAGATAGAGCCTGTAATCTTTTCTGGTAATTTATTGTGAAATAGAGAACCAGTTAAAACTATAATCTTGTCAGAATCTACTTTGTGAAAATTTGTAGTCTTTCCGAAGGAATGGTAAACTATAAATGTTTTTCTTGTACACTTCGTAGGTTTTATATCTTCATATAACAAATACTCTGAAATTTCAGCACGTTATGTTGACCAGGGTGGAAACAAGAGGCCAGGTGCATTTGCCATCTACTTGGAGCCATGGCACCCTGATGTCTTTGAATTCCTTGATCTTCGCAAAAATACTGGAAAGGTGAGAGTACACAGTGATATTTAAGAAATTAAAATTGACATTAAAATAGATCATAATGTATGTAATTGCTGATGTATGATAGGTTGTTTCTTAATTATTGAAGGTTAAATTTACCTTGTCTTTCTAGGATGAACAAAGAGCAAGGGATCTCTTCTATGCCTTGTGGATTCCTGATCTGTTCATGCAGCAAGTGGAATCCAATGGCGACTGGTACCTGATGTGCCCTCATGAATGCCCAGGACTTCATGATACTTGGGGTACACAAATTCTTTCATAGTTACTGAAATATATAGTTGGTTTTGTAATGTGTGTATCAGAATTATGCTATTCTCTCTCATTGTATGAAAGGTACTTTATTATTACATTTCCTTTAATAGGTGAGGAATTTGAGAAACTCTACCACAAGTATGTAGAAGAAGGTCGTTACCGTCGCAAAGTGAAGGCACAACAGTTGTGGTATGCAGTTATTGAATCACAGGTGAGTTAGATTCTTGTGCTGTGTGAAGTATGGTCAATATCTTGTCCTTGAGGATAATGTACAGAATTATGGTTAAGGATTTGTTAAAGACAATGTAAAATTTAAATACAAATGACTTTTGGAGGAGTTCATTTTGTTACTCTGCAAAAGAGATGAATCTTAAAGCCTGTCTTTAGAAAATGATTTTCCAATGTTTGTTTGAATGTCATGTAAGACCAATATCATTTTGATTAAAAGATACTGTAATGTTTGTTTGTTTCCATGAATTAAGATTTGTAAATTTCATACAGGTGGAGACGGGTACACCATACATGTTATACAAAGATGCCTGCAATAGAAAAAGTAACCAGCAGAACCTTGGTACCATCAAGTGTTCTAACCTTTGTACTGAGATTGTGGAATATTCTTCACCTGATGAGGTAAGTTTGTTGGGATTTCTTAACCACATCTTTTTTTTTGACAGTTATTTCTCATCCTTGAAGGTGAGAGGTTCTTTCTCTAATAGTGTTTTTAATTATGCTTATAAATCTTTGCAGAGTGTGTACTAATAATGTATTTTCCAGTCATGTGTAATCTTTGTGTGGGACTTTGATTTGAAATTTCATTATCAATAATATCAGATGTCACTTTGGTTTAACAAATTTGGAAAAGGAGAGTTTAGTTCCCTCATTTTTTCTAATATATAATTTTAATGAAAAGTAGAAATATATTTTACTGTGAAAGTAGGTGCCATAATTTCAAATACAAATATTTCTCCTATTTCCCAAACAAAAGATTGATGCGACTCATTTATATCACTAAAATTTTACTAGTTAACTATATTATGATTGTTACTGATGCAATGGTATTTTATATTTGCAGGTTGCTGTGTGCAATTTGGCATCAATTGCTCTCAACATGTATGTCAACCCAGACAAAACTTACAACTTCGCCAAACTGAAGGAGGTTACAAAGGTATTGCCCAGAGTTCTAATCTGTCCAGTCCACTTTTACTGCTGATAAGTGCTATGAGTAAATGGTGATAAGTGATGTGAAACATTATGGAATTTTTTCTAAAGATTATTTTTTAAAACAGGTCATTACAAGAAATCTGAACAAGATTATTGATGTCAACTTCTACCCTGTTGAAGAGGCTAAGCGTTCAAACATGCGCCATCGACCTATTGGCATTGGTGTCCAAGGGCTTGCTGATGCCTTCATTCTCATGAGGTAGAACCAGCAATTTTTTACAATTGTTTTCTCACCATATGCAATTGTTTATGAAGTCATTAAATAAGTCTAATGTTTGTCCCTTTGTGAGTAGAAAGTTCTAAGCAATATCTATTTCTTCCAGATATCCCTTCGACTCGGAAGAAGCAAAGTTGCTCAACAAGCAGATCTTTGAGACCATTTACTATGGTGCAATGGAAGCAAGCTGTGAACTAGCCGAGAAAGTTGGTCCTTATGAAACCTATGAAGGATCGCCAGTCAGTAAAGGGGTAAGTGTATATTTCAAGCTAAATGTTGAAGAAAAAAACTTTGCTGCTACTCATGAATGTTGAAGGCCCTGAACCAATAAATGGGGAAGCATGGATATATTCCTGTTTTAAGATTTTTTCAGGGCAACAGGATTCCTAACCTGCACCTTATTGTTAAGAAAGGCTATGGTATTCTCATGACAAACCTTGCAATATTTAAAAAATCAACATTTTTCATGTTTTCTTGGCCATACTTTTCATTCCTTTCCTTTTCTTTACAGATTTTCCAGTATGACATGTGGAACGTAACTCCAACTGACCTGCATGACTGGGCTGCTCTCAAGGCCAAGGTAGCCAAGTTCGGAGTGCGTAACTCCCTGCTGCTGGCCCCCATGCCCACTGCATCCACAGCTCAGATTCTGGGCAACAACGAGTCCATTGAAGCTTACACCTCCAACATCTATTCTCGTCGTGTCCTCTCAGGAGAGTTCCAGGTCTGAGATTGTGGAGGTTTCAAGTATTATGAAGTAACCAGCATAAAGAGAACCTTGTAATACATATTCATTGAACTTTTTGCTAAAGTTGTGTGCTTTATGATTTTATATGCTGACCAGATTTGTTGTTGACAGGTTGTAAATCACCACTTATTGAGGGATCTGACTGAACTTGGCCTCTGGGATGATGAAACCAAGAATGAGATGATTGCCAAGAATGGGTCAATTCAGGTATGTGGATTCAAGTATTTTTCGTGGGTGTTTTATAGTTACTGACAATCTAAAGAAGTTAGAACCTTTGTGTAGGTAAGACACTGCTGTCCAAATATGGTTTAAATACAATTTTAGTTGCTGTTTTTCAGGATTCTCATGTTTCAGTAAAAAACTACTTTTTAACAATTTAGGTAAAAGTGAAAGAAAGCATAGGAAAGTATGTCTGTAATAATCTTCCATCTACAGGGCATTGCAAAGATTCCTGATGACCTGAAGGCCTTGTACAAGACTGTGTGGGAGATTTCACAGAAAGTAGTAATCCAGATGGCAGCTGATCGTGGTGCCTTTATCGATCAAAGTCAGTCGCTGAACATCCACATTGCTGAGCCAAACTATGGAAAGCTTACATCCATGCACTTCTATGCCTGGAAATTGGTAAGTACTATTTTGCAGAACATGGCAATGTAAAATAGTGTCTTTTGTAATGCATTATGAGTGCTATTTTGAATTTTCTGCAGTATATTCTTTATAATGAATCAGTGATACATAATTCCTCTACTCTTCAGGGTCTGAAGACTGGCATGTACTACCTCCGCACTAAGCCAGCTGCCAATGCCATTCAGTTTACTGTTGACAAGTCCAAGCTAAAGAAGGCTGAAACTACCAACGGTCATGCAAATGGCACTACAAATGGCACCACCAATGGCACCTCTAGTGCATCAAAGCCAGATGCTATGAATATGGCAGCCATGGTTTGCTCCCTTGAGAACAAGGACGAGTGCCTCATGTGTGGATCGTAAAGTTCAAAGTGAACAAAAAAAACTTCAAGCAATGTGTTCCCAGTGATTTCTCCAAATATTCTTTTTAACTTCACTGTACAAGCTTTTTTTTCTTTCCTTCTGCTCTTGCAGTTTTCATTGTGATAAATAGTAAGTTAAGTTTGTATATTTTGTTACATGATTTTAATTCTGCTTTTTACCTTCCTTTTGAGTTAAATCTGTCATGTATATTACTTAAGTTCTTTCACTTAAGTTGTGCATTCACACTTGTGCCTTATTCTCTCTGCACAACACAACCGAGAGCTAACATATCACTGCCATTATCTTAAGTAGGTACATGACTAAGGAAACTTAGGTATTACTGTACCACTATATTTTTACTACTGTGTGTATTGTATACATTTTTTTTTTATAAAGCATTTATATATAAGTATATTTCATTCCCTCTTTATTTTGAACAATTTCAACTACACATGCCAGGTTTTATTCAGTGGAACTATTTTGGGCATTGGTTAAAGAAATAGAAATGTGATGAATATAGCAATAGTGAATTCAATTATCAAAATAACAAAGTTTTTAATGTAAAGAACAATTACCCAATTTGCATGAGTATAAATTCAGTGAAAAAAAATGATAAAAAGTAATAACGGCCTTCCAAAACCGGATCAGGGATCACTACATTTCATGGAAAGTTGAAAAAAATCATAATGGATGTATGCCCAGGTTCTGCAAATATAACCGAAGCCCACTCAAAGTGCACAACACGAGTTCTCCCCAAATCCCTTTCCGTTGTCTTGGGAGGGATGCTTAGGAGAGAGTCTGGGACCTAATGCTGGGGATCAGCTCTACTTTGGGTCTTACCCCCTCTCCCTTGCTTGTTGTGGGAGGGGACTTAGATGAGGACCGAGGCCAATTTAGCGATTACCCCTACCTTGGTCCTCAGCCTCACCCCTCGATCCCTTACTCGTTGCCGCGTGGGGCTTAAGAGGCGGAGACTCAAGTTCAATGTAGGGATTACCCCTGCCTTGGACCTCAGCCCTCGCCTCAACTAATTTTGCAGGATCCTTTTTTCTCCTTTTCCTTCTCTCCATCCCTTCTGTCCACTTACCCAAATCTGTAACTACTACTATACCTTACCGTAGCCTATATACTGAATCGGGACTACCATCTTTTTCTCAATGTCATGCCCTTTTGTCTCTAGAAACTGCTCGTTTCCACCAATTCTCTCCACATTAACTGTCCCTCAATCCCTTCCTCATCTCCGATCCCTTCCTTTTTCTGCCAATCTTTTCCTCCGTTGCTAATACCCTCCTGTAATTACTCTTCTATTTTTTCCTGATCCACCCAAATCAAACATCCCACCTTCTGTCCTTACACATTTCCATGCACATCTCTAATCGACTCCAAATCCATCTCGGGTACTGGCTTCGCTATAGTCTTTCCTTCTCAGACATACAACTTTCCCCTTCCTGAATCAAGCGTCCTTAAAACAGAACTATATGCTATCCTCTTCGCTTTACAACACACACCTTCCATCTCTTCCTCATCCTTCATCATCTTTACTAAGTCACGCAATTCAATATCATTCAAACAATCCATACATCCTGTCGACTCTATAGTCTAAGATACAAGACCAGTTGTTTTTGCTGGATACCCGGCAGTGAACGAGCAGATGCCTTGGCACGATTCACCGCCTTGTCCACAACCCGTCGAGATTAATCCCACTTTTCATACACCTCAGCCACTGAGTATTACCCTCACTTCAAAACTTTTCTCTATAACCCTAAAACCTTCCATCTCTCCTTGTTCGGCTCCATACTACCTAGAGCAAGAAAACTGGACTTGACTGGTTAAGAATAGGTCACACCCGCCTATATGCTCCTCATGCATTGTTCCTCTTTCAGTCCCACATACTGTCCTGCTCCTTGTTTACTGAAGCCCATACCCGTGCTTTTCCTTACTTTCCTCTTCTGCTCTTCTCTCTTTCCCCCAACCGGTCGGACCCCCATAGAATCCCCCCACTTTTTCAACTTGTTCTTCCTCAGACAGATAGATACCCTGCATCTTATTTAATCACCCTTTGTCCTTAACCGCTCCCCTTTCTTTCAATCCTTATCGTACCTTATTTACTCCCCACTATATCTTATAATGTTATACGATCGTTGAAATCTAACACAGTGTTCTAATAAAGAACTCATTTAAACCCTTTTCACTACAATACTTTATCATAGTGCTATATGACCATTGATGTCTTGCACATATTTGTTGAAACCATTAACCATTAACCAACCTCTTCTACTATCTCAGTTCTAAGGTGTGAGAGCCGTGTTGAAAGGGTGAAAGGCTGACTTTGTGCCAGTCATGAACCATGGGCACCGTATTCCCCAGTTTAGATGTCTAGTCCTTACCCTCAAGGGGACCCTGGGGGTTATACAGTTTCTTTCCCCAACACACTCTAGGCTTACTATGGCCAATAATGATTTTTAACCCTTATTAGGGACAACTCAACCTCAAGAAAACATTCCTCCTCCCCCACCATCCTCTACTTCATCTCCGTCCCACAGCTTTCTTGATCTACTCCCCCCTCCTCCCTTAATGCAATTCTGTAGCCTCATTGTCCACCTCTCCGCAGTCCTGCTTCTCTCAACACCACTCCCTCTTCCACACGTCCACGTCCATTCACTACCCCCACATATACATACCTTGTGATTACTCAGTTTAGTCCAGCCAAATAGGATCAATTTCTCGTGATCCCCTCTACAGTCCCTTACTCTGACAACACTCTCCTCTTCCAGCAATGTCTCCAAAAACAAATAGGCAACCATTCTCGATTTGCTACAGTTATATCCGAATCCCAAGATAAAGCATTATCAACCCTGCCCAGCCTCCTTTCTCCATCAATACTTGCACCGGAGCTGTCTTTATCTCCCTGATAAACTGCCCGGTCTACGACAAGGATTGGGCAAATCGCCTGCCTCTTGGACTATGTACTATTGTAGACGTGATCTGCCCATGATATTTATATTGGTGGGGAGTGCCTCCGACCATATTAACCTCTTCCCTGTCAATGTCACAATTGTGGGCATCTAGGCCACGCTGCTAAATACTACCGCTCCACAGCCCGATGCCCTTTGTGTGCCTAAGCTGGTCATGAATTATGTATTTCATAGGGGTATGAGTCTGAAGTGGCAGACAGGAAGCACGTCGACGAGGTTTTTCTATTACTCTCTACTCCAGTGCTGCCCTTCACTCTGCTGCTCCCCCTTCCTCTCAAGATGTTTCTATTCCCCTTCCTCTATTTCTATTCCCCTTCCATCTTACGTTTCCATTTCTCCCCCCTTCCTGTTCCAATCAAATCCTTTTGCAATTATAAATCCACCCCAGTCTCTATCACTGCCTCGACACAAACCCTTCCCCCTCCTCGCTCTACCCTTTGCAAACAATCTGAACGTTTTACTCCATTTCCTCTTCTCTCCCTAATAAGAATAACTTTTGCTTCTCAGTTCCACTTCAGAAACTCTCCATGACATTCAAAGCCATCTAATCATTACCCAAGATAACATGCCTACACCTCATCCATGGTCCAATCACTCTGTTTCAATTCCCTCTGCACTCAATGTAACTGCCGACATCCATCCTCCTATTCATGTTCCCCCTACACCCCTCCTCACTCCTTCCCAATACATCCCATTCCCCCTTGCTTCATATGCATCATCCTTCCCCATTATTCCTTCCGCTATCCCCTCGATGCACATGTGACTGCCACAACAATCTCCTTCCTTGCATTCTCTCCCTCCTGAGATTTCTCCTGATCTAATCAGCCTTAGATTCCCTTTCTCATTTTGCTGACCCCTAACTTACCCTACGGACATCCTTGCAGAATCCCACACTTCTTCCTCTGACATCTTTGATCTAATCCCTACCTTATTCCATTTACTCACCCTCTCTTCCTTCACCTCTTTGCCCTTTTCAATGTCATACTATCCTGAAGTGTCATACGACTTTTGACATGTAGCACATTTAATCATCAACTAACCCAGTTGTACTTCGATTAGAATAGATACACTGTCCAAGAACATCTGGCTCCTGACCGGCCTGACCAATAGCGTGTGGACAGTGCAACTCTTCCCGCGTACGTATGGCGGTGAAAGGCAACGCCACAGGGGTGTCCTCGATCATGAAAATTACTTGTTTACTCTGCCTGGCCGCCCGAGGCGTCAGATCTATTTCTTTCTGCTCTTGTGTCCGCTAGTCATATCCGCTGGCATGGAAAGGCCTTTAGTTACAAATAAAGTTGATTTCTTTCCATCCTTATTATCTATACAGACAAATTCATCCTGAAAGTGGGGCCACGGCACTGCTTGCTTTGGTCGTAACGTTCACGAAGGAAACATGAATAGAGAGTATTGAAAATGGGATCAATGAACCCAAAGGTCAACCTTACGTGTTTTAGACAAGTTTCTTCCGCATTCTAGGTTTTAGTATAGACTGATATTGAGTAGTTGATAATAGATGATGGAGTTAAAATCCTGAACTGATCTCTGATGGGACGAAAGAATAAACGGGAAAGATTACGAAGTCTAATATTTTTATACGGTTCACCTCTCAGCAGGTGGTGATGACAAGACATAGAAGCGGCAGAGGACTATATTCAATAGTCCATTGTTTATGTTCAAGCATAAAGACTTAAACATTTAGAAAGGAAGGCTGAAAAAAAACAATGGATATTAAAGCACACAAGTGATAAAATGAGTTTCATAACCTAGGCCAACACGGATCTCTCACCGCTACATTTTTTCTCTTTTTTTTTTTTCTTTCTTTTCTCTTCCCTTTCCCATCGTTCCTCCCTCCCGCCCTCTCGCCTTTTCTGAATGCACGGCAAGAATCGAATCCAATTTTATCTAACGCAGTAGAGAGGGAAGTCTAAAGGATTCGCGTTACCTGGAAAGATTTTTGTTTCGCGAATTTTCCTTCCAGCTTTTTGCGTCTGGGAATTATCTGCTGATGAGGGTGACTTGACTGGAGAAAAAACATATAGAAGAGATGGACAAAGCGCATATCTAATCTATATACATAAAATTATAAGAAATGTATGAATGAAATAAAATAATGAAATAATATATATATATATATATATATATATATATATATATATATATATATATATATACACATACATATATATATATATATATATATATATATATATATATATATATATATATATATATATATATATATATATATATATATATATGAATATATGTAAGTATATAATCTGTATATCTGTGTGTGCATATATATATATGCATATATATATATATATATATATATATATATATATATATATATATATATATATATATATATATATATATATATATATATATATATATGTACATACATATATATATATATATATATATGAAT